GACACCCCACACTAATACCCACACCGTAGCCAAGACCCAGACATACAGACGCCAAGAACGCCATCCAGATATCCGCAAAGACATATTAAACCCACCCAGACATCCAGACACCAGCCCAGACATGTAAAAACCCATTCAGACAGACACACAGACAAACACAGACACACACAGACAAACACAGACACACACAGACAAACACCACTCTTACTACGCCATAACCCAAGGAATGTATTAAAGGAGTATAGATTTGTGTGTGTGTGTGTGTGTGTGTGTGTGTGTGTGTGTGTGTGTGAGTGTGTGTGTGTGTGTGTGTGTGTGTGTGTGTGTGTGTGTTGTGTGTGTGTGTGTGTGTGTGTGTGTGTGTGTGTGTGTGTGAATATTCTCTGTATGTATATTTTGGGTATTTGTATGTGTATTCTCAATATGTATGTATGTATGTGTGTGTGTTTTCTTCCTAATGACACACACACACACACACACACACACACACACACACACACACACACGAGCTTCCTGTGCACGGCTGGCTCTTGTGGCGACCCGTTATGTGCACAGAGCGAGAACGAAACTATTACTGAACCTGAGAGAGAGAGAGAGAGAGAGAGAGAGAGAGAGAGAGAGAGAGAGAGAGAGATGAATCCACCGTGACCCCCCCACCCCCAAGCTTTTACACCCCACCATGTCCCCCTCACTAAACTTCTCCACTCCACCATGCCTCCCCATTAAGCTTGACTCTTATCCCTAAGCTTCTCCAGCTTACCTTGCCCCCATTAAGCTTGGCCCCTACCCCTAAGCTTCCCAACCTCACCATGTCTCCCTTACTAGGCTTCTCCATCCCACTATGCCCCCTCTCCAAGCTTCTCCATCTCACTATTCCTCTTCAAGTTTCTCCCTCACTAAGCTTTCACCCCCCCAAATGTTCCTCCGTTAACTTTCTACTTTCCTGGAGATGTGAGAATGTATCTAACTGTCTCAATTTAATCTGTAACGACACAAGAAATTTCTCAAAGGGTTGGGTGAGGTGGGGGGGTGGGAGGCTGGGTGAGGCTGGGTGAGGCTGGGTGAGGCTGGGTTGGGTGAGGTTGGGAGGCTGGGTTGGGTGAGGTTGGGTGAGGCTGGGTTGGGTGAGGCTGGGTGAGGCTGGGTGAGGTTGGGTGAGGCTGGGTTGGGTGAGGCTTGGTGAGGCTGGATGAGGTTGGGTGAGGCTGGATTGGGTGAGGTTGGGTGAGGTTGGGTGAGGCTGGGTTGGGTTGAGTTAGGTAAGGTTAATTGCTCTTCCTTAAGTGGGAATCACATGAAATATCTCAGATAAAGTTTCTGTCCAATTACGAGGCCATTAAGTAGCTCAAATATCACCCGCAGATTTTAAAAACTTCTTCTATTTAACACCAAATTTAATAAACCTGAGACTTTTAAAAACATCAAACCTTAAAAATCTTCTTGAATTTAAAAACTTAAAAATTTATTACAAACATTAACTCATTAACAAACTCAGATTCTTAAAAATATTAGACCTAAAACAACATAAGAAACACAAATTTTCTAAAAAAGATCCAATTTTCACCAAGTCAAAATATTGAACAAGGTCTTGGTAAGAACTCGACTCGCTTGAAGGGAATTTCAGAAAGGATGTTTATGTAATAATGAATAAAATAAAAATAACGGTGTGTTGTGAGTTGCTGACGTCATTGTGTGTATGACGTAAGAGAGAGAGAGAGAGAGAGAGAGAGAGAGAGAGAGTCAGCTGCTTTCTCACTTTCTTTCTTTCTTATTCTCTCTCGCTCACCACGTTTATTTTAGCAAAATCTCTCTCTCTCTCTCTCTCTCTCTCTCTCTCCCTGTAATTACCTAGTTTAATGGTACTTTAGAGTAGTTAGTTAACCATTTGAAATAATCATCGTTTCGACACGAATATAATTAAGGCGTAGAGTTCACTGTGTGTGTGTGTGTGTGTGCACGAATATTCAAGCAGGCAGTAAAGACAGTCACATTCAACAGTTAGTTTGAATATTCAGTCAACAGTCAGTAAGTACAATCAGTCAACAGTCAGTAAGTAGTCACATTAAACAGCCAGTAAACAGTAAATACAATCAGTCAACAGTAAATATAATCAGTCAACGGTCAGTAAGTACAGTCAGTAACAACAGTCAACAATCAATAAGTACAGTCCGTAACAACAGTCAGTAAGTACAGTCAGTCAAGCTGGGTCCTTCAACGTACCCACAAGTCTGTAGCCAATTAGAGTACACCGACCATCCCAGACTGTGACCAATTACTGCCCCCAAAACACATGTGTCTCCTGGGGTATGTGTCTCCTGGGGTATGTGTCTACCATGTCTCCTAGGGTATGTCTCTCTCTCTTGGATAGGGTTGGATAGGGATAGGGTTAGGTTACATTACGTTGGGGTTAGGTTGGAAGAACAAATACTGTCAATGTATACAGCCTTAACAACATCAACCTAGAGAAGTCCACTTGTGAAAGAGACCTAGGGGTACTTGTAAGCCCGGACCTACGGCCTAGAAAACAGTGCGTTAATGTTCGAAATAAGGCAAACAGAGTATTGGGTTTTATATCTAGAAGTGTAAGTAATAAGAGTGCAGAGGTCTTATTGCAACTATATCTTGCGCTAGTCAGGCCGCACCTCGATTATGCGGTTCAGTTCTGGTGCCCTTATTATAGAATGGATATCAAATCACTAGAGTCGGTGCAGCGAAGAATGACGAAAATGATTCCGGGACTTAGAAACCTTCCATATCAGGATAGGTTAAAGAAACTTAACTTGCATTCCCTAGAAAGACGAAGAGTGCGGGGAGATATGATAGAAGTATTCAAGTGGGTGAAAGGAATCAATAAAGGGATATAGATAAAGTTCTTATAATATCCGAGCAGGATAGGACTCGGAACAACGGATTTAAGTTGGATAAGTTTAGGTTTAGGAGGGAGATAGGAAGGAACTGGTTCACAAATAGGGTGGTGGACGAGTGGAACAAGCTTAGCAACTTTGTAGTAAGTGCTGGAACTCTGGAAAGTTTCAAAAGGAGGCTAGATAGATTCATGGATGATAGAGAGTGGTAGTAACTCTCGACAGGAGCTGCCATGCACCGGCCTATTGCAGACTCCTTATTTTCTTATGTTCTTATTACATTGGGGTTAGGTTAGGTTAGGTTAGCATTTGGGTAGAAAAAATTAACTAACGACCCTTTGAGGATTAAGCGCAACTATGTACAGAGATGAATTGGGTTATTAGTGTTAATGAAGAACAGTAATATAACACTGGAGAGAGAGAGAGAGAGAGAGAGAGAGAGAGAGAGAGAGAGAGAGAGAGAGAGAGAGAGAGAGAGAGAGAGAGAGAGAGAGAGAGAGAGAGAGAGAGAGAGAGAGCAATAAAGACATAAAATAAGACGTTTGTTTAAATAATAATATGAAGGTAATTTAGTGCTTATGTATGTGTGTGTGTATGAGTCAACTTACTCTGACACAATTTCCTGTCGTTCTGGAGGCTACACACACACACACACACACACACACACACACACACACACACAGTGAGGCGAGAAGGACACTGTCTCCGGTAGTGGACATGTGCATATCTTACCGTGTCCATACTACATCAACTCATCCAATCTTCCCTATGTCCTACACGTCTGGGGACACACACACACACACACACACACACACACACACACACACACACACACACACACACACAACATATTTTTCCAAAGCCAGATTTTTGGTCAGATTTATATGGAGGAAATAAATCATCTTAGCTGTGTTACGTCACGCCACGGACCAGCTCTCTCCTCTGTCTCTCTTCCCCTCTGTCTCCCCCTCCCTCTCCCCACTGTCTCTCTCTCTCTCCCTGTCTGCCCCCTCTCTCCCTGTCTGTCTCTCTCTCTCCCTGTCTGTCTCCCTCTCTCCTGTCTGTGTCTCTCTCTCTCTCCTGTCTGTCTCCCTCTCCCTGTCTGTGTCTCTCTCTGTCTCTCTCCCTGTCTGCTCTCTCTCTCTCTCCCTGTCTGTCTCCCTCTCCCCCTCTGTCTGGTGTCTCTCTCTCTCTCCTCCCTCCCTGTCTCTCCGTCTGTCCCTCTCTCCCTCTCTGTCTCTCTCCCTCTCTGTCTCTCTCCCTCTCTGTCTCTCTCTCTCCCTGTCTCTCTCCCTCTCTCCCTGTCTATGTCTCTCTCTCTCCCTGTCTCTCTCCCTGTCTGTCTCTCTCTCTCCCTGTCTCTCCCTCTCTGTCCGTCTATTTATCTATCTCTCTATCTATCTTAATCAATGTACACACACACTAAGAGAGACCAAGGTAACAGAGTATAATGAAGTATGTACACTCAATTGGTACACATGAATGGCATATGTCTGTATGAGTGTAAGTGAGGGTGTAGGTGTATTAGTATGGGCACAGGTGTATAAGTGTAAGTGTTTAGATATGATTAGGTGTAAGTGTATGGGTGTAAGTACAGGTGTATAAGTACAGGTGTATAAGTATAAGTACAAGTGTATAAGTGTAAGTACAGGTGTATAAGTGTAAGTACAGGTGTATAAGTACAGGTGTATAAGTATAAGTACAGGTGTATAAGTGTAAGTACAGGTGTATAAGTACAGGTGTAAAAGTATAAGTACAGGTGTATAAGTGTAAGTACAGGTGTATAAGTGTAAGTACAGGTGTATAAGTGTAAGTACAGGTGTATAAGTGTAAGTACAGGTGTATAAGTATAAGTACAGGTGTATAAGTGTAAGTACAGGTGTATAAGTATAAGTACAGGTGTATAAGTGTAAGTACAGGTGTATAAGTGTAAGTACAGGTGTATAAGTATAAGTACAGGTGTATAAGTATAAGTACAGGAGTATAAGTATAAGTACAGGTGTATAAGTGTAAGTACAGGTGTATAAGTGTAAGTACAGGTGTATAAGTGTAAGTACAGGTGTATAAGTATAAGTACAGGTGTATAAGTATAAGTACAGGAGTATAAGTACAGGAGTATAAGTATAAGGGACTGACCTGTACGGCGGCCTTGTTGCCATCATCCAGCAGGAACTCCATGCTCTTGGCCCTGTTGTCCGGGGGGCGGGCCGGGGCGGCCAGCTGGGTCTCCATGGCGGCGCCGCTGGCCTCAAGGTCCAAGAGGGACTTGGCGCGGGCCTTGTCTGCTGACGGGGTGCCGGCACCGACGGCGGGGAGGGTGTCCAGTAGCTGCTGCAGGTCCCGGTACAGGTCGTCCAAGTTGGTCTCCTGCAGCGTCAGCACCTCCCTGGACGCCCCTGTGTCGAGGTCGGTCTCTAGCACGCCCACGCTCTGGGCTCGGGAACGGGCGTGGATCCGCTGGGCCCTGCTCTTGTATCGTTCGTGGATAACTGCTGCCCTTGCCTTGTGGTGGGTGTTGGAGGCCCCGTGGTGGGCGTTAGGTGGGTGCGCTGCGTCACCATCACTGGCCGAGGCTGGACTACCAGGGTGCTGCTGCTGCTGCTCACGCTTCCTCCAGGAATCAATACGAGGCCCCGGCCGGCGCACACTCGCCTCGATCACACTCAGGTCAGGCGTGCTCTTGGCCAGTCGCTCACGTTCCGCCCGAGCACTCGCCGAGAACCGCTCGAACCTCTCCTTCAGGCTCCTGGAGGCGTCGAACACGGAGTTATACTTGATGGTGGTCAGGAGGAGAGGAGCCGGGGTCGTGGTGGGTGGAGAGGGGGCGGCCTCCTGCGTCTCAGTGGTGTCCTTAGGCGGGGAGGACCTCTCAGGAGCTGACACCTGTCGCTCCTGACTGAAGTAGTGGCGGCGGGCACTGAGCAGCCGAGCCTTGTGGAACACCTGCTGGGTGGGCCGCTGCAGGTGTGGCGGCAGAGGCGGCTTGGACACACCTGAGCGAGGACTGTGGAGGTACGCGGTGTCTGAGCTGTCATCACCTGATGGGCTTCTACCCGACTCTACACTCACATCACTGTCCGCCGAGTACACCTTCTCTGGTCTCACTACACTAGCCTCGGGCGGCACACTCGTCACTACACTGTCCTCGCGAGGCGGTGCCGTGGGAGACACTGACGGGTCCGGTTCACCTTTAACCCCAGCAACACTCCCCACCTGCCCGGGACTCACCTGAGCTGGGGGTGGTGGGGGAGGGGACACAAGGGGACGTGGGATCTTCTTCTCCCTCTTGCTGCCCCACGGGAAGAACCTGGGGCTGGGGGGAGCCTTCTTCGGTCTACTGTCGGGGGAGGAGGGCGTGGAGGACCCGCTGTCCAGGGCGGGGGAGGAGGGCTTGGAGCTCTCAGTGTCGGAGGAACGGGACGACAGAGACTGAGGCTTCGGGGGCAACTTGGGGCGAGGCGACTTGGGTGACGATATCTTGGGCAGCTTAAACCTCTGCCAGATGGGTGTGGACACCTTGGGTGACTTGTCTCCGTTCTGCTCCACGTCTGACGAGGACGACCCAGTCGGCGGGTCTGAGGCTCTGCCGTTCACTTTATCGGGACACACACTAGTGTTGTTCACAGGCTTGGTGGTGGTGGTGGTTCTGGGAACTGCGGTACTGTTTCCGGGCACCGAGGGGCTATTTCCGGGTGGGACGGCAGGGTCCTGCACGGTCATACCAAGACGCTGGGGAGAGGGACTCTGAGCCGTCACCACTAACACCTTTTTCACGTCACTATCGGAGCCGTCACCGTCAGGGTCAGCCTCGTAGTAACTCTCCCGCCAGTTAACTTCCTTGACGGAGGGGGAGAAGGTGACGCCCCTGGAGCCCGGTCTGTGGTCCGCCCCGCCCGTGGGTGTGAGGACGGGTGATGGGTGGAGGGGCAGGCGTCCACTGTCAGCCCTGGCCAGGTATACCTCCACCTCCCCGTGTGTACCGTAGGTCTTGGTGCGCACCCTCACGGGTCCGTCAGCCATCTCTGGGTCTACGGTGGTCACTGACTCCCTACTGCAAGTGTCTTCAGGAGGGGAGTGTCCGTGGGGGTCACTTCCGGCAGTGAGGGTGGTGCCGGGCGGGTCATGGGTCGGGCTGCTGCTCCTCTGCCCGCTGTGTACAGGCTGGCACTCATTGGGTAACTGGGCGGGCGTGGAGCTATATTGGTGAGCCGGGGCAGGGGCGAGGGGCTGGTGAGGCGTCGGGGCGGGGAGCGGGGCACGGGCGGCGGGCCAGGCGGGACGCACCGTCAGCTCCGGCGTCAGAGCGGAGGCTGGCAGACGCGGCTCACCCTGTGACCCTGCTGGGGCCGGCAACACCCCGCCCACCCGCACCCCATTGGGGCTCACCTCACTACCTGGCTGCTGATTGGGTGGCAGGTCCCGGGCCCCGCCCCCAGTGCCCGCACCCCCAGGAGGATGCTGCTGCGCCCTCCAGGACTTATCAACACGACCGGCGTTTATATCAAAAGTGTTCTCAGCTGTTTGTTTACCGTTAGGAGACTTAAGTCCTTCTTGGCTCAGAAACTGTTCAGCCATGTCGACACTTATAGGCTGGGGGCGGCGCCTGCCCTGCTGGGGTGCTGTTGGCACTCCCCAGGACTCCTCACCACTCTGGGGCACTTCACTGACGCGCCGCCCGTGAAGGTCCTGCCTGTAGGTGTAGGGCGCCTCATGGAAGCTCCTGTGTCTGCGAGGCTTGGAGGGGACGCCCCGGTAACCCATGTAACGTGACCTGACCTCCTCGTCGCTACCGTCTGAGGCTGAGAGCGGGTGGGGGGGAGGGCGGTACTGCTCCTCTATGGAGTTGGCGTAAGTCGACTTGAAAGGTCGTTGTTGAGCTTTGATAAGATGCATGTTGTTGACAGTTTGGGCCTGAGGGCGTGGCGGCCACCCGTCCTCACCCTCACTGTCAGAGTCAGAGTACCTCCTCAGGTCCCCACAGGAGAGGGCACGAGAGATGCGGGCCTGACGCACGTCCTGGCGGCGTGGGCGTGCTGTGACGGGGTCTGAGGGTGGCGACACAGGAGCAGCCTCAGATATGGGCGGGAGGGGCGAGGATGGTGTAAGACGCACGTCACGGTCACCTAGGCCACTATCCTCACTAAGCGTCTCCACGGAGCGGGTGGCACTACGACCCTCACTGGACCTGAGCGAGTCTGGCACTTCTGGTGAGCTGCCCGGGTGACTGGCCAGAGGGGAGACGTCACCTCCTGCCTCCCCTCGCCCCGCCCCGCCTCCCTCAAGACCAATTAGGTGTAAGATATCTGAACTGCGGAACGACTTCACTTTGGTCTTGTCTCCGTCCTGGACGGTGGAGATGCGGAGACTCAGCTCGGCGGCAAAGTGGTCCTCCTCGTCGTAGTCGCCGTCGGTATTATCGGTGTCGGTGTCACTGTCGCCCGAGGGGAGGTCAGAGTGAGGTAAAGCAGCACCATAGTAGCGCGTGGTGGCCCCATCAACAGGTTGGTCCCCAGACTGACCCACCAGGTACTGGCCACACGAGGCGTCGTTGATCACTAACGTGTTGTTGTTGTTGTTGCCATGGACGACGGTGGTGAGCCGGGCGACTCTCATAGCGTCAGCGGGGTCATGTTGGGTGCCAGTGCCAGGTAGTGCCGGAGCCTCACCTGCGTGCTCTTGCAGGTGCGGAGTAACACTGAGCTCGTGGTGGCGCGCGGGCCCGGGAACTGGGTTATGTGTTGGAGGCTGACGATGACGGGCTTCACCACCAGTGAGAGTGGTGGTGTCTCCCTCACCCACAGCAGGGAGGGTGTCCGGCTCATACATGTCAGAGGCCGCAGCCAACCTGAGGAGGGCGGCGGAGAGGACGTCTGAGGTGTGTGTCTCTGTACACCCCGCCTGAGCCTCGAGTATCACCTGAGGTAACTCACCTCCTTCGGGCGTCACCACAAGTTTATCAGTTATGTGAAGGTTGACGTCACTGTCACTTGCTGGCGTCCACCGCACAGGAAGACCAAACAAATCAATGCTGTGTGGACCAGTGTAGGTGAGAGGCTGGTCCCTGTCAGCCACCTGGTCACTGTCACCGCTGATAGTGGCGGCCATCACTCGTGTGTCATCACTACACACCAGTGACGGGTCACAGCTGTTGTTGATCACTGCAGCAGGATCACTGGTGTGTGGCAGTGTGGCCCAAGTCTCTGGCTCCTGCTGTGTGAGAGGACATGCATGGTTCACTTCCTCTGGGGAGTACACCGCCTCGTTCTTGTGAGGCGACGCATCCTGACCAGCGCTGACGGAGGTGTCGGTGAAGGGGTGGGAGGTGGCCGAGGTGTTGAAGACAATATGGCTGTCGTCTACACCAGAGAGACTGTTGTTGTCGTGGGCGAGGAAGGCGGCGTCGCTGCCCCCAGCCACACTCTCACAACTTTCAAGACTCTCAAAGTCGAACACGTCGTCAATATGCTTTTCAAAAAGCCTGGCAGCGTGGGTGTGACTGAGCATGGCGGCGGCGGGGCGGCCCTGGGTGGCAGGACCCGACCTGACGGGGACATCACCTGCTCTGCGTCTCCTCCGGTGCGAGACCCTCACACAACTACCTCCTGTCGCCGGCCGCAGTCTACCTCCACCACTGTTGTCTTCCTCGTCAGAAGCGGAAGAGTCGTAATGATGGTCGGTGGTGGTGGTGGTGGTCCCAGCGTCACTATTACCCACCGTCACACCCGCTTCCTGTTGCCTGCCCACCCCGCTACACCACCCGTCCTCCTCCTCCACCACCAGGGTCTCGTCACTGCCCGTACTGTCACCTTCTGTAGGGAAGAAAACACAGGAATTATAACCAGATAAGACGCCCCTCACCCCCCTAGGAGGGTTTTACTGCACGGGAAACACAACACACACACCGCCTCCCCCTGGCAGATGTTCCCACGCCGCCTGGAGGATCTTCACAGAAAACGTGGAAACTTTGACCACAAGTCACGTGCACTATCATACACCTCACCCTCTCTTACCTCAACTCAAGCGGTTACCTGAAGCTTAACCCAAGCTTAACTCACCTTAAGATTAGTCACCCTAATGCTACCTAGAGGGGGGGGGGGAGCAAGTGAGGCTGGGTTAGGTTAGGTTTGCTGGATTAATTAAACAAAACTTAAGCTCTGTACAAAATAATTAATCCAGTAATACATTTAATTCAATCTTAGTTAATCGGCCAAAAAAACTAATTAATCCGTTTAGTTTTCCGAAGAGTTTTACGCTTCACTAAAATAAGTAATTAATTGGTTAAGCGTGAGACCCAAACTGATGTCACTCTCAAAACAACCAATCACAGGCGAGCTCTTACAGTTGAGGGACTTATGATTGGCTACACTCTCGTCAATTAGCCAATGGGAGCGTGGCTGTGTTTATCGGCTGTGTCTTGTTTGTTTGTGTGTCTGTCGTGTGTGTGTGTGTGTGTGTGTGTGTGTGGTGTGTGTGTGTGGTGTGCCGTGTGCGTGTGTGTGTGTGTGGTGTGTGTGTGGTGTGGCGTGTGTGTGTGTGTGTGTGTGTGTGTGTGTGTGTCTGTCGTGTGTGTGTGTGTGTGTGTGTGTGTGTGGTGTGTGTGTGTGGTGTGCCGTGTGCGTGTGTGTGTGTGTGGTGTGTGTGTGGTGTGGCGTGTGTGAGGAAAGTGACCTTGAGTGACTGGCCAATCGGGAGAGTCGTTACCTCGCCTCTAGCTGCACCCGATTTCAGAAGTTTCATCACAGTTTTACCCGATTTCAAGCTTCTCTCCCTTATAACTACACCCGATTTCAAGCTTCTCTCCCTTATAACTACACCCGATTTCAAGCTTCTCTCCCTTATAACTACACCCGATTTCAGAAGTCCCATAAAATCAAGACTCCAGATTTCAAAAGGCCTCCCTCAACGTTACTTCAGGAGGGGGGGGGGGTAGATTAGGTTAGATTAGGATTAAGGTATTGAATCAGGTGAACTAATCTAGGGAGGGGGTCAACTCTTCAATATAATCCCCCCTAATCCCTCCTTCATTATCAGCTGATCAAAATAATCTGATCAGGTATATTGATCATGTCCCTGTGTTCCGAGTAACAGGGATATAACTCCAGGCTTCAAAATGATTGACTCAGAACAAAACACGAAGACATTGGTTCGATCCTCTACTAACTCAACTAGGGTGGAATAGCAAAATAAATAATAGTAATAGTTTTAATGATAATTGGTGCTAGTGATAATAGTAATAATGATACTAGTCAAAATAATAGTACAAATAGTAGTAGTAGTAGCAGTAGTAATAATAATAATCAGAAATCAAAACAAGTAAGCCCCCAACAATAACCTGACCTGACCCACTATTACCCAAGTCTAACCTAACACGACCCCCACATGACCTTTGACCCACTATGACGTAAATGACCTTTGACCCCCTATGACGCAAGTGATCTGACCTGACCAAACTACCTTGCCTTTCCACCTGGTACGCTGCGACCACACATATTGACATTTGCGAATAGGGTGCTTTGTCTGTGGTGGAGAGAGAGAGAGAGAGAGAGAGAGAGAGAGAGAGAGAGAGAGAGAGACGTAAAATCGCCCACTGGTCCAGAAAGCCGGAAAAAAAAGTATACCGGTTTTTGTTTTATTTCCGGTAAGGTGACTACGGCGGTGTGTTGCCCCCTGGCGGATTGTGGTTAAAACTACAACCACGACTACCACCATCAAGGCTATCTGTTATTACTATACTCCTCTACCACCACATTACTACCACAATTACCACCATCGCTACCACCACTACATTACTGCTACAACTACCACCATTGATACTACCACATCACCGGTCTATCATCGCCAAACTACTACCACCATTACTACCACAATTTTTTCACACCACACCACTACCACAATTCTTTCACACCACACCAATACCACAATTATTTCACACCACACCATTACCTCAACTACCACCATTACTACTACAATTCTTTCACACCACCACCACACGACTACCACAACTACCACCATTCTTTAACACCGTCACACCACAACTACCACCATTCTTTAACACCAACGTCACACCACCACCACAACTACCACCATTCTTTAACACCGTCACACCACCACCACAACTACCACCATTCTTTAACACCGTCACACCACCACCACAACTACCACCATTCTTTAACACCGTCACACCACCACCACAACTACCACCATTCTTAACACTCAACGCCACACCACTACTACAACTACCACCATTCTTAACACCGTCACACCACCACCAATAACCACCACCATTCTTTAACAACGTCACACCACCACCATTCTTAACACCAACATCACACCACTACCATAACTACCACCATTCTTAACACCAACATCACACCACCACCACAACTACCACCATTCTTTAACACCAACGCCACACTACCACATAATAATAACAACAATAATAATAATAATAACAAAAATAATAATAACCAAAGCCATTACAAAAAAAACGAAAAAAAACAAGATGACATAAACACGGATTTTGTTAACAGTGTGTGTGTGTGTGTGTGTGTGTGTGTGTGTGTGTGGGTGTGTGTGTGTGTGTGACCTATAAACTCCAGGTAACATTTATGCCAACCTACACAAAGCCAACCTCAGTCTGAATTCACCCGTGATACAAAATTTTTATTCTGAATTTCACTATAAAGAAATTCGTTCATACATACATATCTCATCAGTCCATACATACATACCCGGTAAACAGACATACAGTACATACATACATACATACATACATACATACATACATACACACATACCTACCCCCAAATCGGTAAATTATACAGTTCTATAATGTCTAACTATAATTTCTATATATACAGTATATAAATTTATAAATAATATATAAACTTAGAAATTATAGAAGTTTTAATCATATATAAGAGAGCACCTGATGGCAATACTGAGTTAAATGCAGTTGATAAAGGGTTAAAACACATTTCCACCCCACTTAACACTATCTAAAGTAACTTAAGTATAATATCTAAGTGTTTTTTATAAGTGTAAGTACTGTATTAAGTGTTAAATAGAGATAAAACACTTAATTTCGTAAGAAGTTTCAGTGATAACAACGGTATCTCAGTGTAGGAGAGGTTGGTAGCCCTGGTGTAGCGAGGCGCCGGGAGGGTTGGTACACCTGGCAACCACAACACATAACTGTAGCTTAGGGAATCCTTTAAAAACCTCGTAGATTATTTTTGTGTATCTTAAATATTGTCGTAAGGGTGAAAGTGACTCAATTAACCACACACACACACACACACACACACACATACCAAGTTACGTCCAAAATCCTCCCTTGAGAAGATTTACCGAGAGATTAACGATAAGGATTTTTTACCTTCTTCGTTTACTTACGACACGAAACAAAACACACACACACACACACACACACACACACACACACACACACACACAAGACAAAGGTGGATTCCCAGAGGCATGCAGTTAAGAGGTTGGCCTTCGTAAATATACAAGGATGGTGACCATAATGGCTCTCAATATGCGCTGAGACTGTACTGCACTGTCTCCTAGTGTTAAAAATAACTGTGTGTGTGTGTGCGCGTGAGCGCGAGAATGTGGGTGTAAGTGTGTGTGTGTGTGTGAGAGAGAGAGGGGGGGGGATTCTACATTTGATCTTTATGTAGAGAAATCCGTTATATAGAGGGGAAAATTCGTTATATAGAGGGGGGAAATCCGTTATAGAGAAAAAATACGTTATATAGATAGGAAATCCGTTATATAGAGGGGGAAATCCGTTAGAGATAAAAAATCCGTTATATAGAGGGGAAATCCGTTATATTAAGATAAAAATCCGTTAAATCGATGTCTCACTATAAGCTAACCAACACTAATAAAGACCAGTGGTTCCTTACCCTCCAGGGTGGCCGGACAGGGAGGAGGTCGTGTGTCCAGGGCGGCAGGGACGTGGATGACAGAGTCGGTGTCGGTGTTGTCGGCAGAGAAGAGCCAGTGTCCCGAACTCTCTGCCCCAGAGTCCTCCTCCACGTCCTCCTCGATGGTCGCTAACACTACCTCTCCGGGCGCTGTTACCTGTGTGGTGGGTAGATGAGTGGAGTGTTAGATGGATGGAGGGATAATTGGATAGATAGACAGATGGATGGATAATTGGATAGATAGACAGATGGATTGATATATGTATACAATGATAAACAATAAGTCGTTCCAAACCAAAATTAACCAAACAAATCCATCATATTCTTTAACCCTACCTATCTATCTATCTATCTGTCTATCTATCTATCTATCTATCTATCTATCTATCTATCAGCTTTTCTATAGTTTGTCTCAATATATGAATTAAAGAAAACGTGGCTCCATTAACAAACAAAACTTAAAGAAAACGTAACTGGGTAAACTAAAGTAAACTTCATAAAAACTAATAAATCACCTTAAAATAACGTGATTGCGGTAGAATTATGTGACAGCTTTACGTTATTAGTGAAAAAAATAACAGTGATAACGTCATGATGTGTAATGTGCTGATTGGTCGATGGTGAGGAGTGACGTCACCTGGATCAGCCGGGGAGTGACGTCACGTAGGTAAACAATAATAGAAACGTGAGTTGTTTAAAACGCGAAAAAATGAGACGTAAATAGCTCCAACACTAAGATCTTCTAGTTAACGGTAATAAATAGCTCCAACTAATTACCTTCTTGGTGAAATAGTAGTAAATAGCTCCAGCAAGACTTGATAGCAACAAAACTCCACTAAGAGGCAGAAAAACAACTTGGAGACGACTGGACGCCATAACTCAGGTGTGCGTCAGGTGAGTGTGGTAGGTGCCCCTTCTCTCCTCACCTGATCACCCCAACACTGACTAAAGTGGCGTCGATATCTCCACTACCTCGATTAATTCCCACATTTTTTTTTATTTAAGTGATAATATAAACATTTTTCTTATATTAAAGATAAAAATGGGATATATTTTTTTAATATAATAATTAATATAAGTTAATGGGTTTGTTATGTCAATAAGTAATGCTCTTATTCACTTATTTCTCGGGTGGAATCATTGGTTCTAAGCTGTTATCTCGGCTATCAGTCTTATTTTTAAACACGGGTTATCTTATCGTTTACTAGCGAGAGGGGAGCGTGTGTGGTGAGGGGTTGTTAACGCAGTGAGGGCTTAAGGGCAGGTACGATTAGGTGATTAGTGGTAAAGATGATTATGTAAATCACCTGAAGATTAGGGACCTTTATGCTAACCTAACCCAATGCATCCCTAACTTAACCTAACGCAGCTCTAACTTAACCTAACCTAACCCATCAGCAACCTAACCTAACCTAACACCCCTATCACCTCGACTCCCTTAATAACACCTGTACCCCACGCCCCCGGACTCACCTGTACCCCACGCCCCCGGACTCACCTGTACGCCCCCGGACTCACCTGTACCCCACGCCCCCGGACTCACCTGTACCCCACGCCCCCGGACTCACCTGGTAGGACCTTCCATCATGGTCAAGGTCGTCCTCCTCAGGTGAACTGGAGGTAGAGGTCGTGGAGGACTCAGAGTCACTATCGCTATCACTGGTCAGGGTGTTCACGTAGAATTCCATCATGGCCCGCTTCCCATTTTCTGTGTGGAGGGAAGATAAGGAGTTTGTTAATTGTGGGGGTTTGTTAACGCGTACAGTATATACACAAACAGGCTTACTTAACGCATTATTGGGCTGGAGAGAATTTTATATTGGGCTGTAAACAGACTTTTTTAACATATTCTTGAGGTGTAAACAGACTTACTTTAGTATTTATTAGGCTGCAAACAGACAATTTAACATAATTTTGGGCTGTAAACAAACTTTTTTAGTATACTATTAGACTGTAAACAGATACACACACATAAACATTATCTTTACATAAACACAGACAAACAAACATTTCTAAAGGAATATTGTTCGCACATAAACACACACACAGACATAAACAAGCGCAATAAATCCCAACAAATCCCAAGACCTGTCCCAAATCCCAAAGAGAGAGAGAGAGGGAGAGAGAGAGAGGCCATTGTCTAACTAACCACCAAAAAGCCTTAATAAAAAGATACACTTTAATTAATTCATAAAATGTGACGTAACGAAGTCTTTTTCGCGCGCTTTTTGGTGTATGTAAACAATGAGTCACCACAATGGCCCCTTTGTTTACTGTGTGTGGGAAGTAAACACAATAACGAGAGAGAGAGAGAGAGAGAGAGAGAGAGAGAGAGAGAGAGAGATTAGGTTAGGTTAATCTTAAGGTAAAATAAGCTAGGGATGAGGTTAGGTTAGCATTAGGGTGGTCAATCTTCAGGTGAATTAAACAGGTGCAGGAAGGAGGAACAAGCATCAGGTGGCCCCAAGACCATGCAATCAACCTTCAAGTGCCTCATTATCTATCATATCTTTGTTATCAGTAATGGTCGACCTTATCACACGCGACATATCTTGAGTAGCTGGGGCATTAGGCATTCTTGTTTGAGTACACCCTTTTGGGTACATCCTGTTGAGTACATCCTGTCTAGCACACCCTGTCTAGTACACCGTATTGAGTACATCTTGTCTAGCACACCCTGTCTAGTACACCGTATTGAGTACATCTTGTCTAGCACACCCTGTCTAGTACACCGTATTGAGTACATCTTGTCTAGCACACCCTGTCTAGTACACCGTATTGAGTACATCTTGTCTAGCACACACCCTGTCTAGCGCACACCGTATTGAGTACATCTTGTCTAGCACACACCCTGTCTAGCACAATCGTATTGAGTGTCTTTGTCTAGCACACCCCTGTCTAGCACTGCATTGAGTACATCTTGTCTTAGCACACACCCTGTCTAGTACACCGTATTGAGTACATCTTGTCTAGCACACCCTGTCTAGTACACCGTATTGAGTACATCTTGTCTAGCACACCCTGTCTAGTACACCGTATTGAGTACATCTTGTCTAGCACACCCTGTCTAGTACACCGTATTGAGTACATCCAGTCGAATACACCCTATTGAGTACATCCAGCTGAGTACATCCTGTTCAGTACACCCTGTTGAGTACACCCAATAAATGCCTGAACTCAAGGATACCTATACACTGACACACTTGTACGTACACACACACACACACACACACACACACACACACACACACACACACACATGTACGTCAAGAGCCATGAGATAACCCGGTGACCCGCATGCTGAGACGGCTAATCGATACACCTACATCTGTGTGTGTGTGTGTGTGTGTGTGTGTGCGTGCGTGTGTGTGTGTGTGTGTGTGTGTGTGTGTGTGTGTGTGTGTGTGTGTGTGTGTGTGTGTGTGTGTGTGTGTGTGTGTGTGTGTGTGTGTGTGTGTGTGTTTCCTTGTTATATTAATCACTATACATTATTTCCTACCACCACCACCACCATCACTACCACATCCCACTCACCACCATCACTACCACATCCCACTCACCACACACCTGTCACACCATCATCACAACCATGACTCACCACCTCATGACCATACACTATCACCTGCACCGTTCATGCATTGCCTGATTATTGCATGACTAATTTTAGCTCTTATTCCAAGGGTAAATTAAGCTCGTTTTCGTTTACTCTCTCAGGCAGGAAAACTAAGTGTCATGTGTGTGTGTCATAAGTGTCATGTCATGCTTGTGTCATATATGTGTCATATTGATGTCAGGTGTTATATTTGGTGGTGGTGGTGGAGGTATATAGTGTGGTAATGGTGGAGAATGTGGTGGTGGAGGTGGAGGCATATAGTGTGGTAATGGTGGAGAATGTGGTGGTGGAGGCATATAGTGTGGTAATGGTGGAGAATGTAGCAGTGGCGGAGGATGGTGGAGGAAGGTGATTGAGAATGTAGTGATGGTGGAGAAGAGGAGGTGACCTTGAATGACGCCTCACCTCACCTCACCTAACTCTCTCTCTCTCCTTCCTCCTCCCTCTCCCACACTCCTTCCCTCCCTCCCACTCCAACCTTCCTTACAGTCCCTCTCTCCTTTTCCTCTTCCCTCACAAGACAGGGAAGAGGAACAACAACAACAAAAGCACACGAAGAAGACTGAGAAGAAGAAGAAGAAGACTAAGAAGAAGAAGAAGAAGACTAGGAGGAAGAAGAAGACTAAGCGGAGGAGGACACCTGATCATCGCGTGGGAAGGCCGCATCACACAACTCAGCCAAGCACAGGGGAACACAACACCACGAGAGCCACGACGCCTTCTTCAGGTTCCCTTCTTCAGAGAGAGAGAGAGAGAGAGAGAGAGAGAGAGAGAGAGGCTAATCTTCACCTACCCCCCCAAAACACCACAGTCATTACCAAACACCCACATATATGGACCCCACACGCCCACACAACCCCCACACTACGCCCACACCATTACCTTGTGCTCGCTCTCTCTCAGCTCTCATCTGGAGGTAAATAAACCCCATATGTGAAGCCTCCATGGCGTCCGAAGTTTCCGAATCCATCCTTTTAATTCACCTGTGTCTTATATCGCCACTCGGCACAGGTGGGTGAGGTTTCGGACACCGCCGGGATGATCAGCTGATGGACTCCCGATCTGCATTGCTTTTGTTTTGTTTTTCTTGGTTTCTGACGCTTTTTTTCCCTAGGATGCTCTTGATTTCTTGTTTATTTTTGTCTTTCTTGGTTTCTGACGCTTTTTTCCCCCCGAGGATGTTTATTTCTTGCTTATTTTTGTGTTTTCCATCACTATTTCTGGGAGATATTTCCTCTGGCAAATTCTGGGAAATATATCCTAAAGTTTCAGTATCTCTGGCGTTGTTATTTCCGTATTTCTCAGGGATATTATTTCTCACCATTTTTAACGTCCAGGAGATAATTTTGGGAAATATTTGACTGTTTTTATCGCCACTATTTCCCAGAACTATTTTTCAATCTCTCAGAAATTTCCCTTTGTTATTTCTGAGAGATAAAAAAGGTGTGTACTTTCATTGTACTTTCTGTGTGTACTTTTCTGTGTGTACTGTTTGTGTGTACTGTTTGTGTGTACTTATATATGTATACCCGTACTGTTATGTCTGAACTTGTTTGTGTACTTGTGTATGTATATTTGAGAGAGAGAGAGAGAGAGAGAGAGAGAGAGAGAGAGAGAGAGATATATATGTGTGTGTGTGTGTGTGTGTCAATAACCGGACTGACACTACTATATCCGGTTAAACTTTGAACCACTCAACCGGCTCCCACAAAGATCCATCCGAACACCATCCCAATTTATCCCATCTCTTTCTTTAACTTTCTCTCTATTATCTCACTTTCTCTCTATCTCTAAATTTCTCTCACTTTCTCTCTATCTCTAAAATTATCCAACGTGCTTTCTTTCTTTCTACGTCTAATATCATAATTTATCTTCTTTTCCCATCTCTAATTTCACTCACTTGTTAACTTTAAAATTATTATTATTACGTCACTATTATCATCAACCTCATCATGTCAACTTTTGAGAGAGAGAGAGAGAGAGAGAGAGAGAGAGAGAGAGAGAGAGAGAGAGAGAGAGAGAGAGAGAGAGGAAGCAGGGAAGGGCGGTAGCAACATAACCTTGCCCCAACTAGTACAGGAAATACGCTATGTTCTCTCTTTTGTTTACATCTGCTACCCAGGCAGTCATACCAGCATCCTAACCTAACCTAACCTAACCTATGAAGTGGTGTCGTGAGAGAGAGAGAGAGAGAGAGAGAGAGAGAGAGAGAGAGAGAGAGAGAGAGAGAGAGAGAGAGAGAGAGAGAGAGAGAGAGAGAGAGAGAGAGCTATCCAAGCACCTCTCCAAAACCTAGCACATATGTCAGCCAACGAGCTCAGGTGTACACACGGGTAAATTAACCCACAGGTGTTGTCGACTCACAGGTGTCCGCCCACACTTCCTGGCCCACTCTCCTGACCCACATCATAACCCCCGCTCGAATTCCCATACTGTTTTAAGTTCAATTTATCGGATCACATGAAGAGTTGACCCCCCTCCCCTACCCTGCCCTCCCCCCTCCAGCCAGCTTATTTCACCTGATGAGTAAACACCTTAAGGCTATCTTAGGTTAGGTTGATGTTATGTTATGTTAGTAAGTTATGTTAGGCTGAACTTGTATTATCCTCTTATAAACCACCACCACTACCACCACTACTACCACCACCACTACCACCACTACCACTACCACCACCACCACCACCACTACCACCACTACTAATAATAAACATTCAGTAAACACAACATGTATTAACACACACTATCAATACCTCACACGCACTCTCGCAACGTTATCACTGTTTCAACGCACTGCACGCAAATTAAACGCCAACTTATAATAATAAACGCATTACACTCACTAAACGCACTATAGTTCAACGCCTAAGGTGATTCAACTAACGTCAACGCATAGCACAAGTATAGCAAATCCAACGCCTTTAATGGGCATTGTTACGTCAACGCTCCACACACCCACAGTATTAATCAACGCTTTAAACACACTGAAGATATTCCACGCTAAACGCCAGAGAGTCACCAATGAACGTCAAAGCCACATGAACGCCATTACAGCACTGAGAGCTGATTCACACTCAACACACACACACACAGTCACA